TGGTGGGAGGAATGTAATAGTAACTGGGGGATGTAGTGGGGGAAAAATGAAATGTTCAGGGTAGAATCCGTAGAGTTTTAATTGTTCATTATATTACCGTGTTCAGATACTGACATCGAAAGGGGTTGTTCTGATAACAAATTTGCATTCTGGGGTCTGATAACATTTAAATAGTACAACCTTCTGGGGGTTAACCTTAGCACTGCTAGAGTACTGCTAGAGTACCTTGTACCTGCTAGAGTAGAGTACCTGCTAGAGTAGAGTACTAGAGTACTGCTACCTAACCTTGGCACTGCTAGAGTACCCCATCTGGACTAAACTGGTATATTGAGCAAATCCTATATATTCTGGTATATTTCTGCGTGTACTGGTATATTGAGTTCTGACAGACTCAGTGTTGATGTGTTGCAAAGGTTTTCTCTGCCATTCTTCACCGAGAAACTCCTTTGCAGTCTCCAAGAAACATTTCTTTGGCCTCTGTAATTTGTAAACATTTCTGGAGAAATAGTCATGACGGATATCCCCCAATGAGGATATTTGGACATTGCCAGCACGCTCACACACCTGCCGGCGCCAGGCGACACGTCCAGCACCTTGGGTGTGGTGCCACACACACACACACACTGGCACTCCCCACCCCTACCTACCACCCTGGCCTATCTACCCCACCCAACCCACCCCGCATGCACAGGTATCACAGACTAACACCCACGCATGTACATTAGCTCGCAAATACACACGCACACACGCACACACCCACGTACATCCACACACACACACACACACACACACGCACCCACGTTCATCCACACACACACACGCACCCACGTTCATACACAAATACGATCCCACGAACATACACACACACGCACCCACGTACACACACACACACACACACACACCCACGTACGTACGTACATACACACGCACCCACGTAATACACACACACACGCCATATATATGAATGAACATTTACATACATGATAAATACATATACATACATACACACGTCTGTTTTATGATGGTTAGAAAGCGGTCAATGTGAAGTGTCCTCTCCTAACCTGCCAGAGGACCCAAAACAAAAAACGGGGACAGTATGTCACTTTCGCCAGCCGCTTCCATTTTCTAGTAGAACAATTTTTGGCCTTTTGTAACGCATTCGAACGAAATGCGACGTTCTATGTAGGTTACAAGTCTACGGGGACTTTATTCATTACTTACTGGGAACTCAAAGGGCCTAACCCCCACTTACATGCTGTTACCATACATCCATATACGTATACATACAAAGGCTACATATATACAAGCATACATACAAAGGCTACATATATACAAGTATTCAAACAAAGACTGCATATATACCAGTATACATACAAAGGCTACATATATACCAGTATACATACAAAGGCTACATATATACCAGTATTCATACAAAGGCTACATATATACAAGTATTCATACAAAAGCTACATATATACAAGTTTTCATACAAAAGCTACATATATACAAGTATACATACAAAGGCTACATATATACATGTATACATAAACACAGTCACATATCACCCTTGAACCACATAAGTAATTTGCTGCTAATTTCCCCTTCCTTTAAACACTTTTCTACCCCGTTCCCTGTGGCAGAGCTGTGATGGCAGAGCTGTGGTGCCAGAGCTGTGGAGCCAGAGCTATGGTGCCAGAGCTATGGTGCCAGAGCTGTGGTGGCAGGGCACCAGCAGCCATCACCATCGCAACAGCACACCATCACAACAACAGCACCACAACGAATGACAAAAACAACAGAACGCCACTGCAAAGCACCACCCCAACAGAACACATCAAAACAAATCACCAGTTTGTGGCTGTGTTGTGGCAGCAATAACAGTGTGGTTGTGGTGTAACAACAAGGGTGCTTGTGGCGTAATGTGGGGATTAGCATCATACAGTAACGTCAGCCCCCACTACCACCAAAACACATTAACGTCAGCCCCCACTACCACCAAAACACATTAACGTCAGCCCCCACTACCACCAAAACACATTAACGTCAGCCCCCACTACCACCAAAACACATTAACGTCAGCCCCCACTACCACCAAAACACATTAACGTTAGCCACACACAAACCCACACACAAGTCAAACAATAACGTGGCCACGCAGCAGGTGGGTGAGGGGCGTCTCTGCTAGCTAGTCCCCTCACAACAACAGCCTCCCCTCGGAGCACCTGACCTCCCTCGCACGTGTAACAAACCTCAAGTCAACCTCGTCAATTAACATAGTCTCTCCCCCCCCGCCGTGTGTCGATGTCGCTATTTTAAAATACGAGACAATTAAGGGGAAACTCCACTAAAATCGATATAGCGCGAGGATTTGTCTTAGGAAAGTGGGCAGGTATGCTGTTGGCGGCGCAGCGTGTCTCGTCCTCTGCAATGATGCAACCCGCTGGCTGGCTGGCTGTCTGTTGCATGTGTTTCGGGGCTCCGGGGGTCCCTGTGTTGCAACCCCCGCTCAACGAGGACCAGGCTTTCCGCTAGACCTCCTGTGAGGGGGGCCGTTTTCAGCCGGCCTCTGGTAGAAATAATCCCAGCGTCTTTGTAATGTATAATACAGCCTCAGCAAGTCTGACTGGGCCTCACCCGCGACACCAGCTCTCTCTCTCTCTCTCCCTCCACCCCTCTCTCTCTCTCCCAGGTCGTAGTAAACGGTGATCCACAGACCTAGGACGGCCCTCTGGCGTATCACTAGAGGGTAACAGGTGACTACTTACCATACAGGAAGAGAGCGAGACTCGTGCCAGGTATCCAGCAACACACACACACACACCCTACACAGCCACCCTCAGACTTGTGTCGTCTGCTGCCGGGGAAATCAGCTGATTGGTCACGTGATTCTCTGGCTGGCTTCGCACGCCGAATTAAATGTTTCAGTGTTTGGACGCCATTTTCTGAATTAATTTTGCGCGATAAATGATAAATTTAAATGCCTCTTTATTTCTCTGTTGCAGACGAGGCGCTTCGAGTACACAGAACAAAGTAAGAAGTAATTGAAAGTTGAAATATTTCCATTTACTTTAGTGTATCCTGCAATATTTCGTTTTCTGTGATTTAATGCAACTTGGTTTTCTTTGATAGGTCGCTGGCACCGAGGACTCGCCAGACGGTTCGGACGGCGGCGATCGCCGTGGTGTCGGCCCTCGCCCTCGTAGCCATCTTCCACCTGGCCAAGCTCGCCGAACATCCCGTCAGTGAAAACACCGTTGATGGTAATTAGTCTAGTTCGCATTTTTTGCTAATTAGTCTAGTTCGCATTTTTCTACCAGATCATGCAGGCGATGAGTCACAATAACGTGGCTGAAGTATGTTGACCAGACCACACACTAGAAGGTGAAAGGACGACGACGTTTCGGTCCGTCCTGGACCATTCTCAAGTCGATTGCGAGACATTCTCACAATCGACTTGAGAATGGTCCAGGACGGACCGAAACGTCGTCGTCCCGCCTTCCAGATCATGTTCTCTTTGTCTTTTACGTTAAATAACTAATGATATTGCAAAATTATGGACCCCTAATTTGGGTCTTTAGGGTGCCGGTAGTACAGGCGGGTTCGTTCTCGACTCACAATCGAGAATTCCGGGTTTCGAATCCCGGGCAGGATGGAAATGGTTGGGTGCATTTACCTATCACCTAGAGGCCCTGTTCACCCAGCAGTAAGTAGGCAGGTACCCCAGGAGTTAGTCAGCTTGATGTGGGGTTGTATCCTGGGAAAAGGGGGGGTCAGTAATTCGACTTTGCGGGGACTTTGATATGAACCTAACGTGTATAAATACACTCTGGCTTCCTGTCCCCCCAAGACAACGAATGATAAAAATGATTAAAAATACATCATGTGTTAACCTCGTCACATGCTATGTAGAATGATCTGCTTACTCGTGATAAACATAATACATATTATGTTTACTTGTGTTAAATATAAACATTTGATTTTTTAACAAAAATGTTACGTAAGGGTTACAGAGGCACATAATGGGCTCAGGGACTGAACCCCACAACTCATTTAGGTAAGCAAGTTACAGTCTTGATGAGCTAGTTACAAAATTCAATATAGGTCATCACATCAACAATGGGTTCGAGATCGATCACAAGTACAGTTTCTAAATTAAGCAACTGACATATGTGGAGAGCTAGTGTCCCAATTGATATGTTTGTCCTGCACACCGCCCCCCATCCAGTGGGCAGCGGTGGATAGGTTACAATCACTCAGTTACTACCTACAGTTAGCAAACTGGGGATATTTGGCAAAAATTTCTGGCAGCAGATCATTGTGAATGAAATATTTACACATCTTTGGAACATTGGTAATAGAATTGTCTTTGAATTCACTATCTTTTCGCACTCCATCACATAGTGACGGAGGGTGTGCGGTGACGCGACCCAGCGACCAAAGCATTGCCAGCCGCATACCGTACCAGTGGTGGTACAGTGGTAGAGTATGTGGCTGCCAATGCTTTGCTCGCTGGGTCGCGTCGCCTCACAGCCCCAGTGGATTTTCTCATAGCTATCGATGCTGCCATCATTCTCTCCACCACACCTGTCCTTCCCCCCTCTTACCCCAAACCTCTCACACCTGACTGACTCTCACCACCCTCCACAGTGTCGTCGCTGGAGGCCAAGGAGCAGCAGGCAGCGGCAGCAGCTTTGGCCGGACATGGAGTACTCAAGACCTCTGGAGGCAAGGCTGTCGCTCCTCCAGGTAGGTGCCATAGAGACTGCCACACCTCCAGGAAGGTGCCATAGAGACTGCCACACTTCCAGGAAGGTGCCATAGAGACTGCCACACCTCCAGGAAGGTGCCATAGAGACTGCCACACCTCCAGGAAGGTGCCATAGAGACTGCCACACCTCCAGGAAGGTGCCATAGAGACTGCCACACCTCCAGGAAGGTGCCATAGAGACTGTCACACCTCCAGGAAGGTGCCATAGAGACTGCCACACCTCCAGGAAGGTGCCATAGAGACTGTCACACCTCCAAGCTTACACCATATAGGGAGGCAACGACAAGGCTAAAGGATCCGTATCCCAAGAAGCGCAGTTTAGACATAAATCCCAAGAAATATTATACAAAATTGCTATTAAGTAAAGATTTTAAATACTACTATCCTTAAATATGAAAGAAATAACTGAATATAATTAAGTTGGTCCCTTGGTTTCTTTACGCCAAGGACCCAACACCCCGAGTACACAAATATATATAACTGCTCACGTCTTTATAATTAAATATCTTTATCAAAGATATCTTTATCGGTTTATCCAAGTTAAGGCCTTATCGAAAATCTGATATTTGATTGATTGATAAAGATTAAGCCACCCAAGAGGTGGCACGGGCATGAATAGCCCGTAAGTGGTACAATTTTTTTTTCTCAGTATTCTGAGGTTGCATTTAACCATCAAGCTGTTATCGCGGGGGAGGATACTGCTTCACAGTCTTTATGAGGGTGTCCAGCTGCTGGACACCTTTGTTGACCAGGAGAGTGGCTGTGTTGATGGCTTCAGGGTGGCCACTGCATGATTCAGGAACTCTTAAAGCTCTTCTAAGGTCATTGGTTGCTTCACATTCCAGAAGATAGTGAAGTAATGGCTTTTCTGGAAAATCTGATATATTTTAAATTATATAAATTCAAAGGAAAGCAATTTGACGTTACAGCGTAAAATTCTAATAAAGTCTTTACTCAAACGTATATAATAATTACTATAAAAGGAGATAGGAAGGACTTTATTTGTTCCAGAATCTAATGGCTATTACACTAACCGAAGGATTAAGCATTATAAGTAAAAGCCCTGTAATGACTCTACTCTTAACTCATTCAGGATGACAATAAGGCTCATTGCGTTTGCCTCTTGAGCAGATATAAAGAAGCCGGTGGTGCCTGGGAGCACTATTCTTACCAGCTTAAGACGGCACTGCCGTGCTAACGAGCCATATATGCAATTGGAAGGTTGGGCAGAGTAGCAAGGCCAAGTGTAAACATGAATGTCATTTAATAAGTTAAATCATAAATTAAGTCTGTCCAACCTGTATTTTATATGTGGGCGATATATACATATTTTTCTGTGCACAGCGAGGCAGAGATCTGTGTTACGAGCTTCGTGTAATTCTTATTAAGACCTTACTCATGGCTTGTTCTTCGGCAGGTGCAGGAGAAGACTGGCGAGGAGGGCAGGAGTTTGCTGAGGCGGTTGAGAGTGCTGGAGGCATCATCCCCGTGGCCCACATGAAGGACCTTCAGACTCGCGTCAGGATCGCCGGCAGGAAGGTCGCCATTCACCCGATCCTCAAGGTTCCAGTTGATGGCGATTTTCTGGCGCAGGACATTGAACGGATCAGGCAGCTTAACCTAAAGGAAAGCAGACCCGCTAACTCGACGGAGGTGGAGAAGACGCTGGATCTGGTGCGTCAGAAAGTGGAATCTGACCGGAAACAGCTGGTCAGCAAGTCGCTGAGGATGTGGTCGTCAGGAGACACACCGCTCAGAGTGCTGCTTGTTACAACATGGCGTTCCGGCTCCACTTTCTTGGGACAAGTGCTGGCCAACCACCCCGGAGTCTTCCACCACTACGAGCCTTTCAGTCCCCGAGGGGTCAGACAAGTCCGATCTGGTCGCGACGCCTTTCAGGCCCAACAACTATTGCACCGCCTGATGGACTGCCAGTTCGCGGGCCAGGATGAGTATCTCAACTACACCCACTCTCACCCGCAGGACATGCTGGGTCACAACAAGGTGGTGTGGGACGCCTGCCACGTCGGGCCAAACCCCAATGCCTGCTTCAACGCCAGCTTTCTCACCAGGGCGTGTCAGATGTTCCCCATCCAGCTGGTGAAGACGGTGCGATTGCGACTCAACTTGACGCAACTCTTCCTCAACGACGAGAAGATGAACGTGAAAGTCGTTTTCCTGGTCAGAGACCCGAGAGCCACCATGAGCTCTCGCTACACCTCGGTGTCCTGGTGCTCAGATAAGCCCGACTGCTCCTCCCCTGAAGTGCTCTGTTCTGACCTGCAAGCAGATCTGAAAGTTGCCACAGCTCTCAAGCAACTTTACCCTCAGAGGTTCACCATCGTCAAGTACGAGGACTTGGCCACAGATCCACAGCCACAGATCAACAACCTCATGAACTTCCTGGGCATGGAATTCTCTCAAGAAATTGCCCGTTTCGTGCAGGAGCACACACAAGAGGACGTCAACAACCCATGGAGCACTAAGCGCAAGTCCTCAGACCGAGTGAGCATGTGGAAGAAGCAGCTGCCTCTCCAGGAGGTCCACACCATCCAGAATGCCTGCGAGTCGGTGCTCAAGACGCTCAAATATGAGGTCATCGGACAGTGAGGGAGTAAGAGTGAGCGCCTCTCACCGAGTTGTTGAAAATTATAATTACGAAACTAGCAGATAATCTCTAGTTCTCACAGATAAGGATTTTTTTGTTATTACTGATCCTGGCATTGCACTTG